TCCCAGACTAAAATGCATGTCTGGGCTGTTTTACCTGAAAGAAACCATTGTTTTATCCCAAGATGTACACAAGTAATGTTATTTTCTAAGGCACGTTTATAAAAGACAGGCCTAATCCTGGTTCATCCCAAGCCCTGTCTGTGAAACCAGGTCTAACCATCTTTCTTAATCACTCATGAGTGGAATCTAAACAATTTATTAGCTTGTGACAAATGTAATTGTCTAGTGCGAAATTTAGACTCACGTTTGAGTAATTTACTCGCAATGACGAGGGTTGCGCAGGCACAATGATGTTCAAAATTACAAGAGACCATACTACTTCTGCTGTATTTATGCTGTGCGCAGTAGGTTTTGCACATTGAATTATACCACAACGGTGTTGTATGGCTTGTAGCTGTTTCTTTTAACTCTTATCTTTTACTCACACAGGAAATCTATTACATGATATATCAATTTAGTGGATTCTAACACTCATTCTTACCTCTTTTCTTATAGTCTGATTGTGAGTGATCCTTTAAGTCAAACCAGAGATAAAAGAGGACAGATTTATAACTGTGCAGTCACAGCAGGAACCTGCTCATCACTGAACATTGATGGTATTTGGGGTTTAGTACTAATTGAAATATGATTTGCCAATTTCCACAAACAGGGGCTGAACAATTGAGAAATTCTTATTTTGGTTTTCAACAAAAGAAGGGAGTGTACCTCAGTAACACAATCAAAGCAAGCCTTTCAAATGTTTTGTTGTTGTTGTTAATGAAAATGAACAAACTGTCTGTATGTTAATGAAGTTCCTTCAGAAGTTGTCAACATGTCTCTTGGACTTTCCATGGTTCAAGATCCACAATCTTCAAAGGTGGTGGTAAGTTATCCAGCACACTATAGAGATCAGTTTCACACGTGCAAATATCTAAAGAACATAAAAAAATCAAATGAAATGCTCTGTAAATTTACTCTGAATGTATAAAAGGGTTTATAAATGTTAAAAGACATAATATGAGAAGACTGTTTCAACATTAAAGAAAAATGACCTCATTTTGTGTTTGTAATATAAAATTAATACATTTTATTTGATATAATTTATTTTATTTATTTTACCGAGACATGCATGTATGTGTAATATAAAATTAGTACATTTTATTTTTTATAATATATTTGATTTATTTAATTGAGTCACGCATGTTTATTTTATTATCTTGTCTCAACAACTAAACAGATTTTGACCAGAGCAATAAAAGTGGTTGGTGTTGTGGCCTATAATACCATTTGATTTGGTATTCCTTTAAATTCATGTTTAAATTCCATCTCACCCAGGTTTGTGGTCCAACCATTCCAAAGAAATGTGTAGCAGCTACCAACTACAGAGGCATGTGCTTTATCCAAGAAAACAATGAGTTTAAACCACTAATTCCGAGCCCTAAATATCGAGGTAAATATGATGATCACTAAATAGATTTAAAAAAAAAATGAAGTTAACTACTTTCTTCTCATTTGTAACTTTACTGCAGTTTTAACTATACGTACGCACTTATGCTTCACTTCCAGACTGTCTTGGTCAGATTGACATAGCTTTTCTATTAGATGGATCTGGGAGTGTAGGAAATTCAAATTTTGGGATCATGAAGACTTTTGTGACAAATGTGATCAAACGTTTTACTGAGCGGGATGGACAGGTAGGAATAGCCTTAATTTTTTTTCAGTACTTTAAAAAAGTAAAAACACATGGAAATATGTAAATATATTTTATCAGAAAAATGTGGTTTTAAAGAGCACATAATGAGACGTTGTCAACTTTAACTGTTGGTTTACAGTTTGCTATTGCTCAGTACTCAAGAGGTTGTACTATTCACTACAATTTCATTCAACTCAAAATTGAAGACCCCATGTGGGAGTCTAAGGTAACAGATATACAGTACTTCAGCGGTGGCACTCACACTGCAGCAGCCATCCAAAAACTTGTGTAAGACTTGTTTGTTAATATAATAATTTAAATACATTTTATTAAGTGTGGCCCATTTCATGTATATTATGCTCATATAAGTTTATATGTGTAGTTTAAAAGTTAAATGTTAAGCATTATGAGCTAAATAAAATTGATACACTGAATTGAAGTCAACAGTGGAGACACAATTATCTTTAAAAACTAGAGGTTTACATTTTATGGGAAAAAAAGTGAACCATTTTTCTCCTAAATCTATTTTCAAATACTAGGAATGAGCTATTTACATCAGCTGGAGGGGCAAGACCATTAGCCAAAAAAATCTTGCTTGTTATTACTGATGGAGAGTCACAAGACTGGAGCTTATTGCCAGATGCAGTATCACAGGCAGAGGCAAAGAACATAGTACGATTCGCAATCGGGGTAGGTTTTTCTTTACATGTCATTCAAATCTCAATGAAATAGGCTCTGTATCATTTTTTCTCTTTAAGGAAACAATATGTTTTGTTTCTAGGTTGGCAATGCTTTTAATAATTTCAGAGCAAAAGAGGAGTTAAATACAATTGCTTCTGATCCAGATATTGATCATGTGTTTAAAGTGACAGACTTTAATGCACTAAATAATATTCTTCAAAAACTGGAAGAGAACATTATTGGCATTGAAGGTATGTTGGCACAATACAGTTAAGAATAAAATTGCTTGTATACATATATTTTTGGAATAACTGAACAGATTTTCTGTAAAAACTTTAAAGGTGTTAGGGTCTTTCCTTTAGGGTCTTCGTGAAATGTCTGCAGCATACTTTGGTTAAACAACAGCCTTTTTACCTGGTCAAAAACAGCTCTGTTCACAGTGACCCGTATCGGTGCATGTCTCTTTAAATGCTAATGAGCTCTGCCC